ACGGTGTGCCAGCAGGTAACGTACCGCACGGTTCGCGGGTTTACCAAGTCAGGAGACCATTTACGGTGCACCAGCACGTAATATGTGGACCGCGTATTGGACTGGCCACGCTAACAGCTGAGGCAGCAACATTTAGTTCATTTGCTTCGAATAGTGTTCTGGAAGTACACCTATCATTGCGTTAAAGTACACATAATATCGTTCGGGATGTTTCCCATGAAGTTCGGAATCAGCATTAGCGTAAATGCGTGCAAAGCGTTGCATATGCCGCAGTGTTATGTCATGGCACGAAATGAAGATACAAATATATTTTGTCACATTAGCAATGATTAATGGCACTAGGAAATCGATGGCAGGGCTGGCGTAGAAACCAGTTTGCTACTACGTAGTCGTAGGTACTGTGCCTCTCCATTCGGCAAATAATCCTCTTTACCTACAAATTACTATAGTTGCCACAAAACGTTTGCAGTTTTCGTGTCAGGTGCGGCTGTTGGCTGTCATGTTACTACAGTTCTCTGTGCGCTAAAATACGATGTCCTGAGACCTCTTGCACCAATAATCAGCTTCTGGTGCATCTGACACACCACAAGGCTCTACCGTAACGCTTTACTTATCAATTTTGCCAAACAACTGTAGCTGCATGTTATGAGCTGGTCCAAAATAATTGACATCCGTAGGTTCTGATTGCGAAGTAGTTTGCCGACTTTACCTCGCTAGGCATCCTGGTGCAAACCTCAGTGCTACTATTCCCAATCTTCTCAACTCTGGGGGGCTGTTCGAGTTTCGCAATGCTTTTCGTAACCTAACCGTTATGTCCTGTGTGCATCATGACCGTTATGACCGTTTCCGCTACGTCCTGTCACTCTGCAACAGCCATCAATCTTCGCTCCACTCTGTATTTTGCAAACCTGTGCTACTTCCTGCCACCCCTGCGCCCCATTGATCGTTCTACCAGTCACTGAACCTCCCTTTCAAAATAGCTGGGAGGGGACAGCGGGAGGGGAGGGCCCCGACTATGGGAGACCCCCCAGGGCACTGATCAATGCGCACACACGCTCATTGCCATTGCATCGATCCCTTACTGCTGTCGTGTTTTGGTGACAACATGGCGCATCCGCTGTGATGGGTGTATATCTTGTATGAATACATTACGACGCACGTGCTTCGTGGTACGCCTTTGACCTCGAAACTTGTGTGGGTGTGTTCTCTATTCATGGAATGTAGTGTCATGTGTACATAATAGGTTGAATGTTTATTTATCTTCTATGGTGTCAACACATTATTTCGTGACAAATGCTAGGGCGGTGAATCTATTGAGCGTTTATACCACATTCAGAAGGTTTCCCACTGAATGCAGCCAGTCTGCATCGGTATTGCAGGCATTCTGTACTGACTATTGTGTCTAAATAATTGTCAACTGCTGTGGATTCACGAATTTAATCGTCTTACCCTTACATGCAAGTGAAACTTTATGTTGTGGCGTGAGGGCTTATTGCCGGTGAAGCAAAACTGATGTGTGGACTACAGACAGGGGCGTCCCCGACGGGGGGGGGGGGGTCGCGGGGGTCGCGACCCCCCAATCATGAGAACCGGGGGGGGTGGGGGGTGGACCCCCCACTTTTAACGATGCTGAGTATGCCTTTTTGAGCTATCTTGTCAGTGAAGTTGGCGTCAGCACTCAGCAACATCATTAAATACAACGTCAGATTCAGAATCGCTTCAAGAGCTCCCTAGTCCCTCTTGCTTATAGTTCAATAAGCTGTGGGGTGGAACATCAGCATGACAATATTTTAAAGTAGCCACTATTCTAGTTCCTTTTTATCCCTCAAAGGAGTGGGCGCGCCAAAACTGACCCAAGCGTTCGTCTGAACTCTGATTGTCAAAATAATGGTTGCAGTCGATTCGTCGGATGACGTATCAACTATCAGCAACTACGAGGTACCTACCAAGCCTCAGCCCTGGCTACCCTCCGGCCTGCCTGCATAGGGGGAAGGGGGTCAGATGGTGGACCCCTCTCGGGCTTTCCCAATAAGACGCTGAAAAGGAGCCTATTGCAACGAACCTTCCAGTGACCTCGAGTTTATCAATTTTACACCTACTCTAAAATTTATTGGCCTTGATTCGAATATAGATAACCTTGGTTCAGTTTTTCGAGTTTTATTTGCTTCCATTTACAAGTGTAGTTCTTGAAGCTGATTTCGAGTTAAGCGCCCGTTTGAACATAAGAAGTAGTTTTGATAAAGGTTATGTAACATGTTACGAAGCTATCGGTGGTGGTTGTCACCCACTCTAAATGGCCGGCAGGAAGCCTGTAGGTCGACCTGACCTGACCCGACCCGATCTACCCCAAATGCATGAAGTCATCATCTTTGTTCAAAACTAACATGGAAATCGTACTCGGGACCCCGATATCAGCTACGGCTCACAAAGTTCTAGCAGGTCCCGATTTTCCCTATATTTTTGGGCGTTGACATAAGATGACCCGGCCAAGACCTTGAAATTGGGCATCATCGACTTTCTTTCATCACGGGCAGCATTCTCGCGTTTCTGCGAAGCTCTACCTCGATCAGGGGCCGAAAGCATACCTTAGCGTTACGTTGGTAAACGTTTTACCTTAGCGACCCGTAAAACACGAATTTATCTTCGCCTCCAGCTCTGTGCGAGCCACCGCTTCGTCAAACCCGGGTGGACGACGAGGGTCGTTTGGGAACAAAGGACAGAGGCCATTCTTATAAAGAAAAGGACGGAGGGACGGAAGGAAAAAAAGAACTCAATGAATTAAACGATTCCGTCCTTTTTGGTTATCATAAAGGTTCCGTCCCTCTACCCCTCCCCCTTCGTTGTTTTGCTAGGATGCGTTTTTCGTCTAAATGATCAAGAGCTTTAGTAAATGAAACAGGAATTATTTCCTGCAATATTTTCTTATAAATTTCGTCACAAAGAATGCAATAAGACTAAGAAAATACTGTGTGATCGCTATATGGGTATAATAAAATGAGAACCTGCAATTATTTGGGATCATATTTGAATTTTTATGGGACCGGGGACTGTTGTCTGCTACGATACATAGCCTTGGCCAGAGGCCTTGGCTACGATCAAGGATAATATAGATAGGCGAAGTATGTAATATGTTGTAGTCTTTCCTGCTAGGCTGAAACCCACCAAAGATTGTTTTTGCGTATAAATGTGGTAATGCCTATGTCTTACTCAGTGATAGGATGTCTAATAAGCGGTAAGGGAACAACGCAGACACCCTGAGTTAGCGTGGCGGCTCGGGACAAGCGGTAGAGATAAAAGAGGAGGGGATACTGATAAGGCATCTTTCGCTCTAGGGGACGACGCGGCGAGCGGCGAACGCGCGCGGCGGCTCGGGATGAAAGGGATGGAGAGAGGGAAGGAGTAGGTAGAGAGAGAGAGAGACGGGGGGCGCAGGTGTTGTTTTGACGAACTGACGCTAAAGAGGGGGGAGGGGGAGCGGGGGAAGAAATGGCCTGTGGATCTTCTATGTGTGGGGACAGCGAGGACAGTCCAGCGAGAGCGCTTGAGCGTGGTGGAGTGTATACGAATTTCTCTGCGTGCAAACAAGAACTTTAAGTGCTAACGAGAAGTTGTAGTGCCACGTGACTCAGACCTCCAACCGTGATACCAGTCGAGGCGCCAGAGGACACAGGGCACAGGCCAGGTGAGGGTGGAGCTACTGGGAGGCAGTTGCAAACAGTAAACACCTACCACTTACTGGATATTGCATCTCAAGGTGTCCAATCCTGCCTGTTAATGTGTATGCCCGATAAACAACGATAGCTGCAGAACGATAAGGTGGCGGTCTATAGGTACTTGGTCTGCATGTCAAATTGACTAATTTTCGTGTGAAATAACTCCCGACCAATGTCATACAGTTCACATATCGATTAGCACGCAGCCTGAAACACATTTCGCACAAGTTGCTCTCGCAACCAGCTAAATATCGTATCAATGCCGTAAAAAAGCGCTGCTGAAGAGCAGCGCTATTTCTGATGCGTTATTTTTCACGAACAACGCAAAGTCTTACGTCACCAGAGGCGTCTTTGTCTCTTTATGATACGGAAACGCGTCCTTTTGGGTGGGGGTAGCGTCAATCTGGCTTCGTTCTTTTAACGGGTTCCGTCTTTCGTCTTCGTCCTTTTATGATAACCAAATTCCGTCTAATCTCAGAAATGACGGAGCGTCCCTCCGTTCTTTTCTTTATAAGAATGGCCACAGGACGGTGATGATGGGGATGGTGGGTGGGCAAACACTCCGCGCACCCCTTGTACACCGCGGCTCGGCTCACACTGCGCGTGTTATCGGCCGACCACGGCGGGCCGCCGCGGTTCTGTTTGTTCTTCTCCACCCTTCTCGTTATCGCCCCCCCCCCTCCCCCTCCCCCTTCCCTGGACCCCACTGGCTCGGTGTCGCGTCGTGTCACCTCGGCCCGCTAATCACGATTCAACGTCCCGTTAATGCTTGATTAGCGTGTCCTCCGATCAACTCCCCTCCCTGTTTGGCTGTGAAAGGCCGTCAACACCCGGGTTTATCTTCGCCTCCAGCTCTGTGCGAGCCACCGCCAAACACCCCAAAGGAACCAAGGGTATGTGTATTCATACTAGATTATGCGCGCGTGTCCCGTTCACAGGGTTCACAGGCGGTACCTGTCAGCAAGTGGGTTCCACGGCTCGGTTCCTTTATGGTACTCCGCCACACACGATGGGGGCCGGACCGGACACTGGGCCGCCTGTGGCCGCAGCCGCCGGGAACCGCGCCAATTGAGCGCGTCGGCCGCGCCGTTCTCTTTCGTTGCCACGTACTCGACGGATACAGCGAACTCATGGAACGCCGTCCAGAACAGGGGCTGACGCAGCAGCGCCATAATCAGTGGCGACCCCGACCATCCCCTCCCCCAGACCCCCACCACCCCCATGTTATCGGACCGGATCAGCACGCGGTGCCCGCCCCATCTCTCTCCCCACACCAAACATGCCACCATGACGGGGATGAGCTCCAGCCACGTCATGGATGGCGCGACGTCACACTGCAGCTCGCGGGGCAACTCCATCATCCACCATTCGTCTCCGTGCCACGCCCCCATCCCCCGACGTGAGCTGTCCGTGTTCATCACAATACAGTGGTCGTACTCGCCCGGTGGCGGGAGGGGGGGGGGGGGGGAAATGCCGTTCCACATCGGCAAAAATGGCCCACCACCGTAAAACCGCCCGTATATCGGCCGTGATCCGCACCCGGCGGTTCGGTCCGCTAACAGGGTGCGCCGCATCTACCAGGCGTCTAGTGAACGCCCTCCCCGGCGGGACGCACTTGCTGGCGTGCACTAGACGTCCCACCACCGACAGCAGTTCCCGCTGTGTGCATTTCTGTCGCCCGAGCAATGTCTTTAGTAACTCCTGGATGCCCACTAGCTTGGCGTCTGGCAACGCTAGGGTCATTGTTTCTGTGTCGATCACAACCCGAGAAGCTCCATCCGTGTTGATGGCGGGCGCATTTCCGCTCGGCCAGCGGCACGCCCACTTCCGCACAAATGTCTCGCAGTCTCGCATACGCTACGTCGGCACTGTCCGATCCTCCGCGCCCTACCCCGAAGAAGTCATCTAAATAATTGCGTATATACACGTCCGATGTCTGATCCTGGAACACATAGGCGCAAACCTGTGGCAAAATCATTGAAAATCCGTGGACTGCTTCTAGCCTCAAATAGCAGACAAACCTGGTAGTATAGTACCTAAACCGTCCCAACAGAACCCCAGTGGCGCCCACTGGCCGGGCCGGACCGGTATAAGTTTGAATGCATTTTTAACATCGGTCTTGAACAGCAAGGTCCCGGCGCCTCCAGCTAGGAAAATCAACCGCACGGCCTCGTCGAATGACGTGTACGTCACACGAAACTCGTCTGGGTCTATCCCGGCGTTGACCCCGACATCTCTCGACTGTGATAGATCTAAAATGAGCCGCACTTCGCCATTAGGTTTATCGCGCGCACTCAACGGGTTCACTATCATGTTCGGCAGCGATGGAGCACGGAACGGTCCCCGTGTCGTACCGTCCGCGACCTCTCGCCGAATGGCTGCCGTCACCCCGGCACGGCGCCGTTCGGCGGACTGATTGTTTTTCGCGAAACGGCCCCGCGCCGCACCGCGGTATCCAATGTCAGCCCCGTGCCGGAACCGCCCAACGACAGTTTCTCTGGCATCGACCATTTCCCACAGCCTGTCGCTTGGCTTCCACCCTTCTGCACTGTCGATGGCGTAGGATCATGTAGGATTCTAATTATGAATACGCCCCCGAAGTCAAGCCTAGGATTGTTTAATCGCAGTACCACAGCCTGCCGTGCCGGGCTATCTGCTGTTTGCACTTGCCTGACCGGCCCGCCGCGCCGGCGCCGCGGTGTGCGTTATGAGTCACGCAAGGTCGTCTTTCCGCGCGTCCGCCCGCTCGGCCGCACGTTCCCTTATCCCTGTCGCCGCACCCCTTTTTTTTTGTTTCTCTCTCTCTCTCTCTCTCTCTCTCTCTCTCTCTCTCTCTCTCTCTCTCTCTCTCTCTCTCTCTCTCTCTCTCTCTCTCTCTCTCTCTCTCTCTCTCTCTCTCTTCCTCTCCCTCCTCTCTCTCTCTCTTCCGCCCTCTATCCTCTCTCTCCCTCTCTCTCTCTCCTCTCCTCTCCTCTCCTCTTTCCTCCCCTCCCCTCCTCTCCGTCCGTCCCAGGCCATCCTCCCTTGTTTGTCGGTTTGTCGGCGGTGTAGCTTTTATCACCGCTACGGCCGCCCAGGCCGTAAGTAAATAGCACCACTGGGTCCACAGATTCCCCTCATGTCCGGCTTTCGCGTTTGACGCGAGCACTAGTCAGCGAGTTTGCCGCGCTGCGTTTCTGCTGGGCTATACGCGTTGAACTTGGCATGTCTGGCAGGCGCCGCTATTGCGCCAGGTATATATCGATACCATACCGAGGCCGCGATGACATGCACACGCACCGACCAGTTGGCGACATGTTGACCCTGTTAATGTCATCTAGACCGCCTTGCCGACGCCGGGTCTAAGCCAACAGAAATGTGACGCCCACACCACGTGGTCAGAATATAACCGGATCCAGTCATTCCAGCCGGTGGTCCAACCTACATACACTAACCGTCGCGTTCACTGTCTTGCTGGGGGAGAGCCGGCGCCGGCCGAGACGAGACGAGACGAGTCGGCCGTTTGGGGTGACGTCCTTGAGGCTCGCTTTGGCGGAGCTTAATGACGTCCCATTGGCGACCGAAACTGGTCTGATGACCTGGGCATTCCAGCCCAATCAGGAGCCGGACGGCAGGGGGAGGGGGGGGGTCCAACTGACCCCCTCCCCACACGCTAGACGCAACAGAACGCCGCACACGGGCGAGGGATGATAGGTGTACGGATCAGGCTCATTCGAAAGCCCGACCCATCAGTATCACAAGCGGCGGCCGCCGCCGCGACGGGACAGTGACGACCTGCAGTTGTGCAGTTACATTCCGACTTAGCGTTGGAAACGGTCTAACATGAACCTTCTTGTTGATACGTGCCCTGGGGAAAGACCGCAGTCGACACAGCCAGCCGGGAACCACCGCGGCACGTCAGCGTGACACTCACCATATCAATCCGCCTAGCGCTCAAAGCCAGCCGAAATCGGGGCGCCCGGGGCACCCGGCTAGCCGACATTCATTCATTCCGGTTCCCACCGGTGGTGTATTTGAACAGGTACAAAGAAAGCGAGTGAGAACAGCCCATGGAACAGAAAACAGATGGCGTACATGGCAGTTCTAATAGATAGATGGCGCTGCTCGTGGAAGGGGGTTGGATTTAGGATATGTACATGCTAGTATTGTTAGAGTGGTCAGTCAGTGTTAGTAGTTAAGTAGGTTGTAGGTAAGAGCAGCGCCATTGCCATTAGATTCACACAGTGCATACAGTGAATGCAGCTGAGGAGAAATCTCACATCCCCCTCACGCCACCACCGGGGCAGTGTGATCGCCCAAACGACTGTCCCCACTGCTCACCATCGGCGGCCCACCTGGCCAGGCCGGGACGGTGCCGTCCACGGCCCTGGGGAGAGCTGGGGGATGCTTCCCCAGCCGGGGAGATCTGATGGCTACCTCCCCGGCGCTCCAGGCGGGCCGCCAGCCCCCGCCCGCACCGCCCGGCAAGCAACCCCGGACGGTGCCCCCTAACCACCGACCGGGCGAGCGAAGCGTCGACCCGTCTAGGTCGGCGCTCCGCACGCCCGGCCGGCCGACCGACATACAATGCATCTCTGCACGGCGTCGTGACACTGACTGGGGCGGTCTATTCTGCGCGCACACCCAGTCTGGAATCATCACTGCACCGCAGAGTGACACTGACTATTTCGATCTACCCGACGCACATGTCCAGCCAAGTGTATCTCCCTCCCCCCCCCCACCCCCACCCTCCGTTATGTGGCCATTCTTATAAAGAAAAGAACGGAGGGACGCTCCGTCATTTCTGAGATTAGACGGAATTTGGTTATCATAAAAGGACGAAGACGAAAGACGGAACCCGTTAAAAGAACGAAGCCAGATTGACGCTACCCCCACCCAAAAGGACGCGTTTCCGTATCATAAAGAGACAAAGACGCCTCTGGTGACGTAAGACTTTGCGTTGTTCGTGAGAAATAACGCATCAGAAATAGCGCTGCTCTTCAGCAGCGCTTTTTTACGGCATTGGTACGATATTTAGCTGGTTACGAGAGCAACTTGTGCGAAATGTGTTTCAGGCTGCATGCTAATCGATATGTGAACTGTATGACATTGGTCGGGAGTTATTTCACACGAAAATTAGTCAATTTGACAAGCAGACCAACTAGACCAAGTACCTATAGACCGCCACCTTATCGTTCTGCAGCTATCGTTGTTTATCGGGCATACACATTAACAGGCAGGATTGGACACCTTGAGATGCAATATCCAGTAAGTGGTAGGTGTTTACTGTTTGCAACTGCCTCCCAGTAGCTCCACCCTCACCTGGCCTGTGTCCTGTGTCCTCTGGCGCCTCGACTGGTATCATGGTTGGAGGTCTGAGTCACGTGGCACTACAACTTCTCGTTAGCACTTAAAGTTCTTGTTTGCACGCAGAGAAATTCGTATACACTCCGCCAGGCTCAAGCGCTCTCGCTGGACTGTCCTCGCTGTCCCCACTCACAGAGAAGATCCACAGGCCATTTCTTCCCCCGCTCCCCCTCCCCCTCTTTAGCGTCAGTTCGTCAAAACAACACCTGCGCCCCCCGGCGTCTCTCTCTCTCTCTACCTACTCCTTCCCTCTCTCCCTCCCTTTCATCCGGAGCCGCCGCGCGCGTTCGCCGCGCGCCGCGTCGTCCCCTAGAGCGATAAGATGCCTTATCAGTATCCCCTCCTCTTTTATCTCTACCGCCTGTCCCGAGCCGCCACGCAAACTCAGGATGTCCATGCGTTGTTCCCTTACCGCTTATTCGACACCCTATCACTGAGTAAGACATATTCATTACCACATTTATACGCAAAAACAATCTTTGGTGGGTTTTAGCCTAGCAGGAAAGACTACAACATATTACATACTTCGCCTATCTATTATATCCTTGATCGTAGCCAAGGCTAGGTATGTATCGTAGCAGACAACAGCCCCCGGTCCCATAAAAATTCAAATATGATCTCAAATAATTGCAGGTTCTCATTTTATTATACCTATATAGCGATCACACAGTATTTTCTTAGTCTTATTGCATTCTTTGTGACGAAATTCATAAGAAAATATTGCAGGAAATAATTCCTGTTTCATTTACTAAAGCTCTTGATCATTTAGACGAAAAACGCATCCTAGCAAAACAACGAAGGGGGAGGGGTAGAGGGACGGAACCTTTATGATAACCAATAAGAACGGAATCGTTTAATTCATTGAGTTCTTTTTTTCCTTCCGTCCCTCCGTCCTTTTTCTTTATAAGAATGGCTTATGACCGGCCCCTCCCCAGAACCCAGCCGCCGCTGGAGACCGCTCCCAACGCCCCATCTCCCCTCCCTGGGCCTCGGCACGGCCGACCTGTTTGTCTTAGCGCGCAGCTGCGTGCCCTCAAACTCTCCCTCTCTGCTCTCCCACCCTCCGCTATCGTCCCGACCGGTCGTAAGCTCCAATATTTGCTCAGCCGCGACAACACCTCGCTGACGGCGCCTCGTCTTTCGGCGTATGCCGTCTAGTGGTGTTAGTTTCAGAAAATGTATGTCCAATGTCCGTCCAATTCCAATACTTACGTCGATTTCCGTCCAAAATGTTTAAGCCAGCCATTTGTCCAAAGATGTCCGAAACCTACGCAATAGTTTACACTTAACACTGTTATCTATTTTTTATGTATTTTATCAGCTTTAATGTGTTAATCATCTCAAAGGCTGAACTTTCTATTCGCCAATCAGTGTTAACCACGATTGCTTTATAAAAATGCTGAGGTGTAGCAATGATTGTCCAAAGTTGTCCAAAGCCTGCCGTCATTGTCCAACCGAATTCCGAATTGGACATTGGACAAAATCGGAATTCCACAGATTCAAGCTACGATTGACACCACTAAATTGCCGTCTCACCCAATGCCGCTGCGCCCCGATGGAGGCCACTAGATACCCGCCCCTCTCCTACACGTGCCCGCCTGTTCTGGATCAGTTCGCACCATTACCTGCCGGGTATACTCGCGAGTTACGTCACGTGTCAGGTCATACCCGTCGTCGGGCCAGATATGGCTCGACGGGGACCACAGTTGCCAGGTCCTCCTGTGCACACGGCATATACGGATCAGGTCACACCCGTCGGCCGTGGCCATGGCACGACGGGGACCACAGTTGCCAGGTCATCCTGTTCACACGGCATATACGGATCAGGTCACACCCGTCGGCCGTGGCCATGACACGACGGGGACCACAGTTGCCAGGTCCTCCTGTGCCCACGGCATGTACGGATCAGGTCACACCCGTCGGCCGTGGCCATGACACGACGGGGACCACAGTTGCCAGGTCATCCTGTTCACACGGCATGTACGGATCAGGTCACACCCGTCGGCCGTGGCCATGACACGACGGGGACCACAGTTGCCAGGTCATCCTGTTCACACGGCATGTACGGATCAGGTCACACCCGTCGGCCGTGACCATGACACGACGGGGACCACAGTTGCCAGGTCATCCTGTGCACACGGCATATACGGATCAGGTCACACCCGTCGGCCGTGGCCATGACACGACGGGGACCACAGTCGCCCGGTCATCCTGTTCACACGGCATGTACGGATCAGGTCACACCCATCGGCCGTGGCCATGACACGACGGGGACCACAGTTGCCAGGTCATCCTGTTCACACGGCATGTACGGATCAGGTCACACCCGTCGGCCGTGGCCATGACACGACGGGGACCACAGTCGCCCGGTCATCCTGTTCACACGGCATGTACGGATCAGGTCACACCCGTCGGCCGTGGCCATGACACGACGGGGACCACAGTTGCCAGGTCATCCTGTGCACACGGCATGTACGGATCAGGTCACACCCGTCGGCCGTGGCCATGACACGACGGGGACCACAGATGCTGGCCTCTCTAGGCGCACGGTGTCGTGGTCAGCTAGATACCCGCCCCTCTCCGTCACGCCCAATTCTATAGCGCCCGTCGAACGGGCCTCCCCCTATCCCGTCTCCTCGTGGCCGTTCTACCTAGATTCTTCCCCCCCCCCCCCGCAGCCTATCGCTGCGCCCACCTGTCATCCTGCGTCCGTCTCCTGTCGCTCCGTTGATGTTGTCCTGTCATTCCGTACACCAAACCGAGCACTTATATCGCGTTCGTCGCGCGCGCCGCGCGAGAAACACTCCGCGCACCCCTTGTACACCGCGGCTCGGCTCACACTGCGCGTGTTATCGGCCGACCACGGCGGGCCGCCGTGGTTCTGTTTGTTCTTCTCCACCCTTCTCGTTATCGCCCCCCCCCCCTCCCCCTCCCCCTTCCCTGGACCCCACTGGCTCGGTGTCGCGTCGTGTCACCTCGGCCCGCTAATCACGATTCAACGTCCCGTTAATGCTTGAATAAGAGCTACAGCGACACAGAAAGCGTATTCGATAGCTTTTTTAACCCGCGCCCGGCTGGGGGTCCTGGCTTTCCACGCCCTGCTGGGGGGGGGGGGTGTTTGAACACCCCCCCTTCTAACTCGGCTCCTGGGCCACGTAGCGATACGCGGAAGGCGGCGTTCGAAAGAGCGTCAAAAATAATGAGGAAATCACTTCAGTCAATTTTTTGGTCAGGTCAAAGGTCAGGTCACCAGAGGTCATTGAAGGCAAAATTTCGCCGATTTCCAGGTCGAATGTCGACAATTTCCAAGAAGCCAACGCATAACTCGGGAACCAATAGAGCTACAGCGCCGCGGAAAAGCGCATTCGATAGCCCTATTAACGCCCTTTCTGAGTAATTCTCTCAGATTTGACCTAACGTCAACGGTTTTGCCTGCAGAGTGCAGGGGGCAAAAACTGCAAAAATAGCCGATTTTTTCGGAAACAGTTTTTCTGCAAAACTTTTGACCCAAGCATTGTACAAGCTTACTTTTACCGGTATCGTGTTCCTCTCGTCAAGACGCATCGAATGAACTATAACTTGACCTTGAAAGGTCAACTTGAAAATTTGACCTCAGGTCAAGGTCATGACCTGACCGGAAAGGGTCATGTTGCATATCAGTCGATCCGTATCGTCGAGCTGAACACATCTAAGGCGTTTTCATCGCTCTAGCATGCCTCTATCAAAAGTTATTTGCGAAAAACTGTTAGATACCATTCGTGACCTAAGATGACCTCAGGGCATAAACAGGGGTCACGAACACCATTTTCATGTTCAGTGTGTCTAAACCACTTGTAATTCAGTGTTTGGGAGTGTTTATAATGTCTTTCGTCCAAAAGAGGCGCATTTCAATTTTCTCCCATTGACTTATAATGGGGAGGTCGCAAAATTGACCTGACCTTAGGTCATCGATATCAAAAATCTGAGATAAACATTTTGTACATACTATTGCTCTTAGCAATCGCTGAAAGTTTCAAAGCGATCGGTCACTCGGTGTAGCTATGACAGACATTGAAACTTTTTATGAGGTGAGGTCACTTCAAGTGACCTGGTGACCTGACCTTGAATGACCTTGGTCTGAAATTTTCACAACATGTGTAGAATTGATGTATGATAAGGTGTACCAAAAACGGCGGCGCTCCGCGCCGCCGTTTTTGAAATATTTGCGAAAAACCACAAGGGGGGGGTGTTCAAACACCCCCCAGCAGGGCGCGGGTTAAAGCTCTTTCGCCAACTTCGCCTCAGATTTGACTTCGGGTCTATGGCTTGTGTACCACAGAGGCCAAACAGATAAGCGGACGGATTTTGCCGAAACATTTGTTCTGTGACAACCTATGATTCAAAGAATGTGTATGATATTCATGTTATCACCATTCACCTTCGTGTTTGTTTCGTCGAAACGGGTCGCATGGCTTACAATTTGAACTTAAAAACTTAACTATAAAATTTGATATCAGGTAAAGGTCATGTCGACCTGACTGGAAAAGAACCTGCTGCATGTGGATCGATCTGTGTTGCTGAGCTGAACACACTCCAGGCATGCTGTCATCGCTCTACAGCGTCTCCATCAAAAGTTGTCGAAAATGTGTTAGATGACCAAATGACTGACCATTCGAGTCATTACTCATTACTGGTCATTAGCTGCACCTTGTCCCTAAAATGACCAGAGGTGCCATGGCTACAAAAGTATCTAGCTTTTTTAGCATATTCGTTCAAAACAGAGCGCATTCGTGCTTCATCCCAAATCTTATCATGATGATTGGTGAGGTCACATATTTGACCTGAATCACTTCTCAAATGTAAAATCCCAGAGTCATGAACTGTTGGCACTTATAATCCCATTCATTACACCAAATTCAGACTTATAGGAGATAATCTATAGGAATGACAAGATTGCAGTTTTTAGAGGCATTAAAACTGACCTTGACATGACATTGTGACCTGACGTCAGGTGACCTGTGCTTGATTTGTATGCCCGATGCAAATGTGATATACGATAAGATATGCCGCTGTTTTCGTGGCGCTGCGCGCCGAGGTTTTTCTCAACACACGAAAAAAAAACGGGAGTGTGGCTAAAAACACCCCTACCTATCAAGACGAAGACCGGGAACCCGACCCCCCCCCCCCCCACTGAAAAATCCGTGGCGACGCCCCTGACTACAGACCTTTGCGTCTGTGTTGCCTGTTGCTGTGGTAATGTGCAACCCACCTATTTAGATAGAGATTGTGAATGGACATTTGAAATACTCGTTTGATGATTGCGTAGCATGTGCCAAGAAGTTCAACTGAACTTCAAAACCTACCAATACCTGAAAACAATACAAAAACGTCGCTGACACTGTTCAATGGTCATGCCATTTCATGCATGCATATGCAATATGCATACTGGCAATGCTTGGTGCAAAGTTCGATAGACTCAACTTTGTCCGACTATTGAGAGCTGTAACTATCTAGCTATAGTATCCTCGAACAACTATTTCGATAATAAACTTGAGAGTTTACCGAGTAGTGTCAGTTGCAATACTGAATACTAGCCGTTTTCACGACGGGCTATCCGGCGAGTGCACCTAATTTGACCAAATCTGCACCTAAGCTCTTTTACAGCAAATATCTTTATTTGATGAGTATATTTCCGTGTTTCAATCGATGAATCTCTCTGATAATATGACAAAGCAGGCATATAAGCAATTAGTGCAACCCTAGCCGATGGCTACTAAGAGACACACTGAGCCTCATTTGACCAAATCTGCACCTGATCTGCACCAGATATGCACCAGATGTGTACCAGATGGCCGTCGTGAAAACGGTTATTGTGAATTGTACCTATTTCTCTTCTACTGTTTTCTGCGAACATAGCAAAACCCTTTATGGATACCAATGGACAACTGACCTGATATGTGTGATTCCACATTGGTAACCTCAATCCCCCATTTTCAGATGAGTCGTCAGTGGTACAGGACGGGTGGCGGCCACACCCCATAATTCCGCCGTCCGTCGCCCGTCCCCGTCTAGTGGTGGTCGTCTCGTCAGCACCGCGCAGCGGCTCCAGCTTTCTAGGTGAGATACAGACTTACTATTATAGATGAAATCAAGTTTTGTATGTGAGCTCCAGCTTTCTAGGTGAGCTACAGTCTTATATACGTGAGCTCCAGCTTTCTAGGTGAGCTTCAGCTTTCTAGGTGAGCTACATACCTTTATCCATACGTGAGCTACAGACTCATAGGTGAGCTACAGTCTTTTATACGTGAGCTCCAGGTTTCAACTCATGATGTCCAGGCTTTCCATCGTCGTCTTATAGTTTTCTTTTATTTTCTTTCGGCATTTTCATCGTAAATGTGCTCAAACCACAGTCATTTCATATTGTGTTATCGATGATAACTAACACTTTTTAGCAGTCTCACTTGACTATATAATTCTATGACCTCCGTATCATATGATGTGTAGCCATCCGTGACCCTTCTTATGGTGGAATAAGCGGTCAATCGGTTAGCTGTCGTCATCACATCCCGTGTTTTAAATAGGATCGTACAGTCTTCGTACCATATGGTGCTGTCGACACCGTTAGTAAGGGGTCAGGTCAACCATCTGATATGTGATGCATCGCTCGGCTGAAAGCTAGCTGAGTGCCAATATCCGTTTGCGAGGCATACGATTATCCCTGTATAGGCGCTGGGTGAGACGGCGCTACGTCAACTCATCGTCAAGTAATTAACAGAAGGTGAATGATCTTCGTTTTGTTCCCTTTTCACCTACTCGATTCCTTATTCACTGGCGATCGGAGTGTAATCGCCACGCCGATTGTGGATTGCTCTTGATCGTCAATACATACATACATACATACATACATACTCCCCATACCATAGTTTCATTCGAAACTACATAAAACCTTAAATTACCCGCGACGCCAGGACAGGACATCCGTTATCTTACACTAAATTAATTCACACAATGCCCAGCAAAATCTTATGAAACGATCCATTTATTTAATAATTTTAAAATGGCAATTATAATTTCAAAATAATACATCAGGGTAAGCAATCAATGGGACATACCTGATCCTTGGCGGCGCTCCCATTCCACCAACTAATCACCTTATTAGTTTCAGAGGCAATACTCTACAATACCTTCTGATACTCACAAGCAATGACGTAACAATGACAATGTGAAACAGCAAAGTAAACGTTGTTACCTTGTCCACAGGTCAGCTAATGTCAAGTCCACATAGCGCACTGTATTTCTTCGAGCCTTTCTGGTTTTACAAACATCTTTACAACAATAAGACTGCTGCTCCGTACAACTATGAAGCAGCAAGCGACCTCCACAACCTGCTTACTTGCAAGTGAGTTTGGCGGAAGCCGTAAGCCGCACATCAGGTCAACCGAATAATAATCTGATCTTTCGAGTAATAAAAACTGAGAAAGCTGCTTTGTCTGATACGAGTACATATAGGTGGTGCGAACCCCAATCCGCCTCAACAGAATTATTGATGCTCTTACCAGATGTGCTGTAGTCTCTTACCATCATTCGTTTGAAATCAGGTAAACATCAGACGTACCAACTCTCTTTTACTACTCACTCCTATACTCATACTTACCGGTTTAGGCTTGATGCGTCATTACTTAGTGATCATGATCATTACTTAGCAATAGCTAATGATTACTATTCGATTCAACGGCTGCAAGCATTCCTCATGTCAGCTAGATGTTCACTCTTACATTCGCTTTTATAATCAATTCAGAACCAAATTATTCTCATCCTTAATGACATTGCTTTGGCTCAGGCTGGCGTTCAACCCACCCAGAAAGCCGGTGGAGGCTAGTCTCTACTTAGGAGACCGTTTGGATGGCTTGGTGACCTTTATTACTTGAACACTCAATTCTAACGGGATAGGGTGGTTGCTACGGCGGCGAACCAGCAGAGGTGTTTAAATCAACGCAAAGTCTTAAGTCTCAAACTTAACTTCTCACCCCAACGGTCGTGAAATGGTCTAGAAAGATACAACAAAATATATCTTATCATCTAAATCAGTCAAGCAATACGATCTCAAGAACGACATACCTAATTCGCTCCCTAACTCTCGCTCACTCTCGCGTTTTTTCCCGTTCCCCAGTTTGGACGCTCTGCCGCCCATGTTTGCCGAACGAAAACACCGTGGCTTCATCTGGAGGAAGCCCAAGGTACTGAAGCGCGACCCCAGTAGAGCGCACCTGACTTCACTGTGTCTCAGCACTTCAATACGTGTTATCAAGACGATCCGACCCCGGCTGGCAAAAGTCTTACCCCTTCTGGAGGTAAGTACTTGAAACAGGAACTGGTTAACTTTATAGGGATGGAGTGGGGCTTGGTAGAGGGTTTTTATGGAGTTTGTTGCCCATTTCCTATGGCCAAGATTATATAGTGAGCCAAACGATTAGCTAGGTGCATTTAAGATAACTTGTTCATGGTTTTGTCTATGAATTGAACATCTTCAAAGAAGTCCATCCTTGTGGTAGGTGTAGGTCTATATGTGCATTTGCATTTCGTGTCTGTGCGAGTTGTTGGGTACGTGCATTGCAGCTGAAAAATGCACAAAACGTTCCTCAATCACGCTGTTCAGTGTTCAAGCTCAAAGCATAATATCCATAACAAATTGTTATCACACTCTCATCTGGCGTACACATAACTACGATCCACATTTCCACACTCAGCGGACGGATCTGGACGTGCGGGTCATCCACCTGGTGCGCGATCCACGCGCGATCCACAACTCGCTCCTGACGAAACACCACGCATGGCCTGAATGGCGTAGGAACGCCTCATTGCTGTGTGAAGACATCCGAGCTGATTTACGGGCCTCTCAGAGCATCAGCAGTGACCGCTGGACGGGCGTGAGGTGGGTCTTTGAGATCTAGAGGAGGTTAGAGCTGGGGAACAACTGGGGAAAACTGAGGGAAACTAGGGGGGGGGGGAGGAATGGATATTAGGGAGTACGTCATTTGAATATGTTCGGGAGATTACGGCTCAAGTATCCGTGAAGGGCAGAAGTGTATGTCGCACTAAACGACACCACTGTCAAAACCACGACAAAGACTAAGTTTATAAATGCCACGGAAATTTCGTTTTCTTGTATGGTAACTTGTAGTATCCCGAGGTCAAGCTTTTGTTCGTTTTCAACCATAGCTGTTAGATCTCGATAAGTATCGACTCGATAATCAAATTGGTTAGCTTTGTTAGGGTCGCATGTTTTAGAAGTCAGACGTCAAGTGAGTTACACTGTTCGGCTATTTCACTTGGAAACAGATGGAAGCTCTAAGGTGGCATTGTCTCTGCAGGTCTCCTTTATGTAAAAAATAGTTTTTCTCCGTCACGCGTGTCCTATTTATCGTTTGAATTTGTTTCTTCGTACACACAGGTACGAGGATTTGGTGGAAAAACCAGCAGAGGAGGCCAAGCGTCTATTTGAGTTTTTGCAGCTGCCGCTAGCAATGGAGACGTTAGACTTTATTCGAACACACGCCCGAAGTCACGACGCTCCTAAAAGTCCTGACACTGCGGGAAACTCCACTAAAAGAGACAACGGTCACGCTGGCGAAAACCGTGGCCAGGATGTCGCTGACGAAACCAAAGATGAAGAAACTCAAACAGTGGTACAAGAAGACAACAACCGCAGCCAGAATCAAATAGCGACAGCTGAAGACAAGCTCTCAGCACTGGCAGAAGGCAATCAGCATGGCCACCTCCGAAACACCGTGAAGGGGATTGCTGAGGGAATGGGCCGAATATCTGAAGCAGTGAGAAGTATTTTCGCAGCTGTGGGCGGCTCAACTGACGAGAAAGGATCACCTGGTTCGGGTCGATTCACCCGAAGGTTGCAGAGGTACGTAACAGTAGTCATGCACCTTTCCATGGTCATAATTCATATAAATGTTTGATTGTTTTGTGTCATTTACTTCTTAACCCGCGTCGGGCCGGGGGGGGGGGGTGTTTGAACACCCCCCCCCCTGAGGTTTTTCGCAGATATCTCAAAAACGGCGGCGCGGAGCGCTGCCGTTTTTGGCACACCTGTTTGTGCATCTTTTCCGCACATGTTGTAAAATTTCAGACCTGCAGGTCGCCTTAGGTCAGGTCACCAGGTCACGCCAAGTGACCTCACCTCAGAAAAAATAAGAATGCTCGTCATAGCTACACCGATTGATCGATTGCCTTGAAAGTTTCAGCGATTGATGAGAGTAACATTATCTATAAAATGTATATCTCGGAATTTTGATATCGGTGACTTAGCCTCAGGTCAATTTTGCGGCCTCTCCATTATAAGTCAAAGGGAGAAAATTGAAGAGCGTCTGTTTTGCACGAACGCTATTCTAGACACTTAAACATCGAGATGTAGGTAAAATTGACACACTGAACCGGAAAATGGCAGCTGTGACCCCTCGTTATGCCCCCGAGGTCATCTCAGGTCACGAACAGAATCTAACAGTTTTTCGCTAATAACGTCTGATAGAGGCGTGCTAGAGCGCTGAAAACGCCTTAGATGTGTTCGGCTCGACGTTACGGATCGACTGATATGCAACATGACCTTTTATGGTCAGTTCATGACCTTGACCTAAGGTCAAGTTTTCAAGTTGACCTTTCTAGGTCAAATTATAGTTCTTTCGACGCGTCTCGACGAGATGAACACGATGCTGGTAAAAGTATTGCCATGCCACTTTTGAGTCAAAAGTTATTGCCGAAAAAACGGTTTTCGTAAAAACGGCTATTTTTGGAGTTTTTGCCCTCTGGAGGCTAAACCGTTGACCTGAGGTCAAATCTGAGAGCATTAATCAGAAAGAACTGTAAAAGGGCTATCGAATGCGCTTTACTGCGGCGCTGTAGATCTATCGGTTCCCGAGATAGCCGTTGGCAGTTTCCAAAATGTTGAAATAGTCAACATTTTACCTTTGGTGACCTCTGGTGACCTGACCTTTGACCTGACCCAAAAATGACCGAGTGTTTTCGTCCTTATTTTGGACGTTCTTTCGATTGCCGCTTTTCGCGTGTCGCTACGTGGCCCAGGAGTCGAGTTAGAAGGGGGGGGGGGGTGTTCAGACCCCGCGGCCGGCGCGGAATCTCAGAGCACCGGCCCGGCGCAGATTCGCGGGGCTGGAGGGGGGGTAAATATTCCCCCCCTTGATTGCTACGTTTCCTTTACTTCTTCATAGAAATGGAACTTTTCCTTTGGAGTGTCATAGACAATTTACAGGCACGAATGTAGAGCCTCAGTACATAAATAATGATTCGGTGATCGAATCCCGACCCGTCTTCACATAGGTAGGAGTTGTGTAGCTGCACAGTGCACAGAAAAGAAAGACATACATGCTGTATGATATGACTAAAATCCATGCATGTATGAGGCATATGCTACTACAAACGATAATGTCTTACAGCTGCCATAAACGTGGTTTGAAGGTCTGACAGAACACGCGTTCTTTTACAGGTCCAATGTATCGGAACACATTCGTCCTGGTTCAAGAAACACCATTGCTGGGGCCATACGGAGGCGACGAGACACCGCACTGGTCAGCACACATCGCGGCACACCACGACGCCTTCTAGCAATCGGTGACGAAGACGAGCCTATCCAACAGAAACTAAAACCCAAGACCAGAGGGGGTCGAGCGCCCACCTTCCGCCGTTTGACCAGAAATGAGTATGTCAGAGCCTTGAAAAGACGGGAAATCTTTAAGAAGAAAAATAGACGTAGTTATTATTTTGATACTGTGCGAGGCGCAGAGTTTGATAGGCTGCACTGGATTCGTGAGCTGCCTCCTGCCGAGCGCAGCAACGTTGAAAATGTATGTGAAGACGTGTTGGCTAGTCTAGGCTATCCGCTTCGCTACCCAGATGAGAATAACGGGCTGTGATCAATTCAAGATCAATTTATCAAGGGCAGTATCAAAAGCTGGGTGACGATCAGGTTTTATAACCTAGAAATGTGATATTAGCAAATATGCAGTTCAATGGTTAGAATCTTCAGGTGACTAAGTACATGGTTAGATTGCCAAAAATAATTGCCAAGAGGTTGGCATGCATTTTTATATAGGATTTTAAAGCCAGGAACCATTCCCAACAAGTAAAACCCCAGAAATACGTAACATTACGACGTCAATGTAATGATATTGCTATTTTTTGATGAATGTGTGTAGTCCAGGGTCTTACATCAAATTGGTGATACCTTACACTTGTCCCTGTGGTGACCACGTGAATTAGTGTCTATAAACAGTGTCTAAATTTGTGGGCTGCAGGGTCCTTCTTGTGATTACTTTGTTCATGTTGTCTCGTGCAGAAACCTCCGATTTTAGGGGTCTGTAATGCCTCGCTTTCGAGGTATGTGTGATTAGGTGGCATTTCCTATTGCATGTTTGAACAACTACGCTTTAACCCTCGCCCGTATTGGTGTTTTTCCAGCCGCGAACGTATAAGGGGGGGTCCGTTGGACCCCCCCCCCTTGCCGTTTCGCCCCTGATCGAGCTAGAGCTTCGCGGAAAAAACGAGCGTGTTGCCCGTGACGAGAGGAAGCCGATGATACCTAATTTTAAGGTCCTAGGTCATTGGTTGACCTCGCAGGTCAGGTCAATGACCCAAAAGTCGGGAAAATCGGGACCTGTTAGAACGTCGTAAAGTGTGGCTGCTATTGGGTTTTTCGGGGCGCTGATCACGAATATCATGTTAGTTTTGATCACAGATGATGTCTTTATGCATTAAGTCCAGGTCGGGTCAGGTCAGGTCAGATCAACCAGTAGGGGTCCAGCCGGGTATTCCTAGTGGGTGTCAACCGCCTCTGACAGCTTCGTAACATGTTACGAAGGTGCCAAAACTACTTCGTAAGCGTTCATATGGTTGCTAAATTCGAATTCAGCTCCAAAAACTGGCCTAGAAACATGTAAAACTCGAAAAAGTGAACCGAGGTCACCAAAGGTCAATGACCTGACTTGACCTTCAGGTGACCTTGACACCCACCCTTATGCATGGGGGCAACATCATATCACATGTTTGAACGCTTGAAACCACGAAAAGACTGCAAACGCGCGGCTAATGCGAGCCGACATACGCCGAATCGCGATTCCGGCCAAACATGGTCTCGAAAAGTAGGTCACAGGTCAAAGGTCATTGGGGTCAGGGTCATGAAATTTTCAGGGTAGGTGTAAAATTGATTAACGCGAGGGTACTGAAAGTTTCGTCGCGATCGGCCGCTTTTTACGCGAGTTATTCGCGAAAAACCATGGGGGGGGTCCGTTCGACCCCCCCCCCCCTATACGGGCGAGGGTTAAACAAGCGTGAATGCGTGCTTGTTTGTGTATGTATATTTATGAGTATATCATATGTGGGTGGTTGCCAAGCTATATTGTACACGCTTGTGTTTCACTTCTTTGCGTTTTTGTCATAATTCCGCGGTGTATGAATATTGTTGGCATGTTTGACGGTTAAAAACACAATCACTCCTTTAATTATGACGTGTCTTGTAACATGTGTGGTATCGACTATCGGTCAACGTGAAGTGAATGCTTTATTCTGCTTTAATCGTAAACGGCAGTGCAAACAAATGTATTCTTTCATAGTTTGACGTAACGTTATTTGATAACGTTATTTGACGTTATTTGTTCTTCACAACTAACCGCGTTCGTTTTGATTTTTCGCACAAATAATTGGTAAAGGGTCAATATAACTAGGTGTACCTACTGACTAGTACTATGTTAATGTGAACATCAAAAACCAAAACACCCATACCGAACAGTCGTATTTCAACGTTCGTCGCTTGTAGATGACGTCATAGCTCCGATGCCGACATCCAGCCACTCGAAAGCAGTTAAAAAGGTAAGTGCTCGTAAATTACATTTGGAATTGCTGAAAATTACATTGGCGTACGTTTGATACAGGCTTTCACGGTATCATCAATTAGCGCTTTGCATCGACCCAGAGCTGAAGGCTTGGCAAAGACTGTACTTCATTTGTCATCTGATTTCTTTTTCTTCTGATATCGATTTGCTTTTGCTGGAACACTTGCAAAGGTCAAGTAAAGTTTGTTCGCTAGCATTCAAACACGTTATTCTTGGCGTTGGCCAAAGCCACATGACCTTACCATGCATACAATAACACATCAATAACGTCACCCTCCTATTTCGACGAAACAGTGCCCCTTGTCACGCGTACATTGATGTGTTCTAACGCGTTATTTTGTCAATTGTACCTATTCCATGCTCATCGACTAGGTGATAACACGCTTCTGATTCTGAGCCCGGTGTGGAACAGCGTCTCAGCAGCGACACCAAAAGAGCCAACCAGCCCGGCTTCTGAATCACCTGAAGGCGAATCACCTGAGGGACTTCAGAAACGGCATGTCAGCTACATAGGGATGTAAACAGCGCGGATAATTTCAAATGTAAACAGCGCGGATAATTTGATTGCTGACATTCTGTGTCTCTGTGTCTCATTCTGTGTCTAATATCATTATGTGTCTCTGGGCACTTTGGTGGGCTGAAGCAGCACTTGTCAACGAGGTACCGTAGAATGTCTCAAAAGAGCTTATGGAAACGGTCAATACCCGATGCTGAGATGTTTTTTCTTTTTTGGTCTCATGGGGCCGTCCTGCTGTCTTTTTCGAGCCGAGACTCATTGTTTATGTCTGAAACTCAGAACTCTTTTGTGTCTGTTGATAATCCCGCGGTGTCGGAGTTAGGAGTCCACTGTGTTTAACCTTCGCCCCAGTGGGGGGGGGGGGGGGCATATGTTACCACCCTGTCGCGTTTTTTTTTTGCGTGTGAATAAAAAACCGCGGTGCGTAGCGCCGCGCCGCTTGGGGTAGCTTTTGGTACATCAATTTTGGACAATGTGTGAAATTTTTGACCCCAGGTCATGTCAGGTCAGGTCACCAGGTCAAGTTAACTGACCAAGCCTAAAAAAGTTTGCAATCATGTCCAGTCTGCAGTGTTTGTCAGAAAGGTTTTAAACTTGGTGGATTGCATGCCGTTATGGCGCCTACAAGTTGTATATCTCGGATTTTTATATCCGTGACCTAAGGTCAGGTCAGTGGAGTGACCTTTCCATTACAAGTCAATGGAGAAAAATGAAAATGCCTCTAGATCCGTGTGTACGCATCGGAGCAGTCCAAATATTTCAGAATCACAATGATTTAGTCCACTCGTGATGACCAAGGTGTCATTTTTGCTGATAGCCTCTAGACAGGTCATCCGAGGTCACTTGAGGCTACAAACAGTTTTTTTGCCAATAACTCGCGATTGGAAAGAGATAGAACGCTGGGGATGGTCTCATTGTGTTTGTCTTGCTGAGACGCATCGACTGATATGCAACATGACCTTTTCCGGTCAGGTCATGACCTTGACCTGAGGTCAAATTTTCAAGTTGACCTTTTAAGGTCAAATTATAGTTCATTCGACGCGTCTCGGCGAGGGGAACACGATTCTGGCAATAAAAGTGTCGTGGCTTTTTGTAGTCGAAAGTTATTGTCGAAAAACACTTTTCGTAAAAACAGCTATTTTTGGTGTTCTTGCCCTCTGGAGGCTAAACCGTTGACCTGAGGTCAATATTGATAATGACCTTTTCAAAAGAAAAGTTCAAAAGCTATCGATTGCTTTTCAATGCGTTTTTCTAGCTACCATAGTTCCTGAGATAGCGGCATGTTTTCCGAAAAATATAATGACAATTGGCAAATTTTGACCTTTGATGACCTCTGGTGACCCCAATATTGCTCTAAGGTGAAAAATGACCGAATACTTTCAAACGTACGCATTGAGAGCTATCGACTGCTTTTTACTGCGTCTTTCTAGCCCTCTTAGTTTTTGAGTTAGAGGTGGGTGGTTGCCCCCCCCCCCCCCACTAGGGCGAAGTTGGCTGAGACCGCCACTGGGTCGCGGGTTAAAGGTAGTGTGCCACCTTCCAATGATTTCCCATTTTATTTTTCCTATGATAAGAAGTTTCTGTTTTTACCTAATATCGCAAAAAAAAATCAAAAATGGGCCTGGAATAGTGCTTTTTTTCGCCTAAAAGTTTATAGGTTTTTCGATATGTATAACAACTGTAGTGAGCTGACCTGCAAACAGGCGTCGGCAACAATCGCGAATGCGGCGCACATGTGACAATAAGCAAAAGCCATTATAGAGCTACGACGTACGGGAATGAGTTATCAGCTGCCTAATCGTAGACAACACAATATCGAACTTAAACGCCTGTATTGGTATTGTTTCTTTAATTTGGCTGTCGAACATTAATTTATGGTTTGAAATATGATTTTATGTAAAATAATTGATATGAAACAGCCGTCTCTTAAGTTATGACCCCATTTCACCACATGCAAGTGGCAGAAATGACAATGATCAGCTGACGCATTTTTCTTAGCCGAAGTCAGAGCGCGCGGCCCGACGCACCACGCGTATTTGGAAATTCCGACCTCGACGAGCATCAGAAGCCACCAACAGGCGTGTTCGAAACCGCAGGAGATGATGATGAACGGGTTTATCGAAACTTGATTGGATGAGCCTATCGGTAATAGCGATTTTAGTGTGTGCATTTATTGTTCATAGTGGTGTGAAATGTGGTTGGGGTACGACCGACAACCCGTCGGGGCGAATTTCGCACTGGGGTACTCAAAATTGGAAGAATTCAAGATGTTTCCATGAGTTTTGAAGGTATGGATAAGTTCTAAAAATCCGGTTCTCCCTATCTGGGTCATTAACTCCATATGGTCCAGGAAAGCTGGCACACTACCTTTAAACAGTTCTAATTCTATCTTTTTCAAATATTCGCTGACCACTTGAGTACCATTACCTTTGTAAATTTTTTCGAACTTTGATTAATTTTTGTTGACCAGTTAGCCCTCTCTCATGTCAGACACCATCTCCGCTGATCAAGCACCGATGCTCCCCTGGATCTCATGCCTGGTGCCGCCTCTGTCTGCCAGTCGCTGCCGCCCGCACAGATGCCGTGCCTGGCGCTGCCCCTGGGTCTGACCTGCCCGCAGGCGGTGGCCGGTCGGCCGGAGTGAGGCTTTTGCTACGCGGGCGCTCGGGGCGGTCGGGCGGCTCCCGGCGTGGTGACTCTGGAAGAAATTCAGATAATGCCTGTAATAGGTGAGAAAAGGCTTAGCTTTGCGGACGTTGTGTTGTATGTTAGTAACAGTTTTATATTATTACTTTTTGAGTAAATTATATTGCGACCATTTAAACAGTAGGCTAAGCGCTGCTAATCAAACGAGTAAATGAGGACTAACCCCGCGTTCGATGTCTCTCGGACGACGAAGATTCTATGCCGTCCGGCCAATCCCGTCCAAGGTCAGCGGGGGCTCGGCTGCGGTTATGGAACGTGATTGGCCGGACGGCATAGAATCTTCGCCATCCGAGAGACATCGAACGCGGGGTAAATGTGAACGTATCTTTTTAGCGTTGCATGCTAATGTAGTTTAGTGTAGTAGGTGAACAAAGCATATTGCCATTCGAGTATTTCTTAATCTGGTGATTGTAATATCTATGTCCATATGTCCATCGGGGGAAGACGAGGGACGCCATCGGTGGCATGGAGGAGGGACGCCATCGGTGGTGGACCGCCATCGTCACCGCCGTCCTGACTGTACCAGAACAACAGCGGCGGACCGAGACAGCAGAGCGGCACCGGGCGGCCACTTCTCAACGGAACGGTGAGAGGGGCATGTGTTTTGGTGCTTGTAACGGTTAACCCGCGCCCCGCTGGGGGGGGGGGGGGGGGCAGAATCTGCCCCCTCCCGTTTTTCGCCAATAACTTCTAAACGCGTTACGCCAGCGACGGCCAACTTTCAGTACCTTATTATACATCAATTTGACACGTTTCCTGAAAATTTGAGCGAAATCCGTCGGAATTTTTTGAGAAATTGACGTTTTAGTGACGTCACGTTCGCCATTTTCGCCTAAAAAACGGCGAAATTTCAAACGCCGCTAACATCTTCATTTTTAAAGGAATCAAGACGTAACAAAAAGGTTTTACGTGATTCTACTTTGTCTATCAAATGGCTATCTCGTTTTTTTTTAAACCTTTGGATTTTGGCCCTTTTTTTCTTAAAGAAACTGACTTTTTTGGGAAAATAATTATAAAATCCAAAATTTTGAGTGTATCGAAAAAACGGAATATATGTCAGATAAGTGGTCTATGTGCACCTACATAGCAATTTTTAGAAGAGTCGGTTCAAAAATGTGGGAGTCATTCAAAATTTTATGACGTCACGACGCACAAAAAAATTGAAAAATGATTTTTTTGGAAGTTCTAGACCTCGTACGGAAGCAAAAATAACACCATTCGATTCGCCGTGGAAAACTGCATCAGATAGACACCTTTTTGGGCCTTAACAACCAACTTCAAAATTTGACCTCACTTGGTTGACCTTGCAGGTCAGGTCAATGACCCCAAAGGCGGGAAAATCGGGACCTGTTAGAACGTCGTAAAGTGTGGCTGCTATGGGGTTTTCGGGGTGCTGATCACGAATATCATGTTAGTTTTGATCACAGATGGTGTCTTCATGTATTTAGGCCAGGTCGGGTCAGGTCAGGTCAGGTCAACCAGTAAGGGTATTCGTAGTAGGTGGCAACCGCCTCTGACAGCTTCGTAACATGTTACGAAGGCACCAAAACTACTTCGTAAATGTTCATATGGTTGCTAAATTCGAATTCAGCTCCAAAAACTGGCCTAGAAACATGTAAAACTCGAAAAAGTGAACCGAGGTCATCAAAGGTCAATGACCTGGCCTGACCTTCAGGTGACCTTGACATCCACCCTAATGCATGGGGGCAACATCATATCACATGTTTGAACACTTGAAACCACGAAAAGGCTGCAAACGCGCGGCTAATGCGAGCCGACATACGCCGAATCGGGATTCCAGCCAAACATGGTCTCGAAAAGTAGGTCACAGGTCAAAGGTCATTTGGGTCAGGGTCATGAAATTTTCAGGGTAGGTGTGAAATTGATGAACGCGAAGGTACTGAAAGTTTCGTCGCTATCAGCCGCTTTTTACGCGAGTTATTCGCGAAAAACCAGGGGGGTCCGTTCGACCCCCCCCCCCCCCCTATACGGATGAGGGTTAAATGACATTGTATGCAACGAATATTGTCTTGGTAGTCTAAGAACACGTTTTGGGCAATCAGTCTCAGTCCATTCTTCGGCAACTACGGTGCAAGGCCGATACTGTACAAGCTTGCATTTTGTACCCTTGACCTGACCTTGACCTGACCTCTGACCTACTAAAGTAAAAAAATTGGGCTCTTAAGATCCGCCTTGTTGAAAGTTTTCGATTGCCGTTTTCCGCGTCTTTCTACGACCATCGGTTCGGAAGTTAGATGGGGGGGGGCAGAATCTGCCCCCCCTCCCCAGCAGGGCGTGTATGGCTGAATAGCCCAGCGGGGCGCGGGTTAAGTATACAAGTAACCGTCGATATGTGACCGTCTATTGATCTTTAATGGTATGTAAAGCTGTGTGGGTGCCGTGGTATGCGACCGTCTTTTTTACGTGGCATATTGTATGTGTGACCCTTCGTTGTTAAAGGTAAATATGGCTATGGCCTATGTATTTGATGTGGTATGCCAACGTCTATTCGTTGTACGAGTAGTTTATGTTTGGCCGCCCATTTGTCGTGGCATATGTGTGACGTAATCGTGTATTTCTCGGGATAGATGTTACCGTCTATTGAACGACGCATACGTGACCGTCTATTTGTCGTGATGTGTGACCGCCGCCGTCTATTTCACGTGGTATTTACTTGTAACCTTTTTTGCCGTGATATATATGACCGTCTTTTGCCGTGATATGAGTGGAAGTCTATTTGTTGTGGTGTTTATGAGCGTTTATTTGACGTGATATATGTTAGCGTCTGTTTGATGGTGGTAATTGTAAGTTTTTTTTTACGCGCTATATGTGACAGTCTACTTGATTTGATATATGTATTACCGTCCGTTTTCTTTGAATGTTACTGTCTGATTTTTTTGTGATATATGATACTGTCTGTTTAACATGGTATGTGTGACCGTCTATTTGTCGTGGAACGCGTGACCGTTTTTATGTGGTATGAACTACCGTCTATCTTGTTGCACTGTTACCGTCTATCTGTCGCAGAATGTGTGACAGTCTATTTGATTGTGTAACCATCTATTTTTTCGTGGTATTTGTAACCGTCTATTTGACGTTGTATGTGTGGCTGTCTATTTGTCGTGGCATATGTGTTACCATTTCTCTCTCTCTCTCTCTCTCTCTCTCTCTCTCTCTCCTCTCTCTCTCTCTCTCTCTCTCTCTCTCTCTCTCTCTCTCTCTCTCTCTCTCTCTCTCTCTCTCTCTCTCTCTCTCTCTCTCTCTCTCTCTCTCTCTCTCTCTCTCTCTCTCTCTCTCTCTCTCTCTCTCTCTCTCTCTCTCTCTCTCTCTCTCTCTCTCTCTCTCCTCTCTCTCTCTCTCTCTCTCTCTCTCTCTCTCTCTCTCTCTCTCTCTCTCTCTCTCTCTCTCTCTCTCTCTCTCTCTCTCTCTCTCTCTCTCTCTCTCTCTCTCTCTCTCTCTCTCTCTCTCTCTCTCTCTCTCTCTCTCTCTCTCTCTCTCTCTCTCTCTCTCTCTCTCTCTCTCTCTCTCTCTCTCTCTCTTCTCTCTCTCTCTCTCTCTCTCTCTCCTCTCTCTCTCTCTCTCTCTCTCTCTCTCTCTCTCTCTCTTCTCTCTCTCTCTCTCTCTCTCTCTCTCTCTCTCTCTCTCTCTCTCTCTCTCTCTCCTCTCTCTCTCTCTCTCTCTCTCTCTCTCTCTCTCTCTCTCTCTCTCTCTCTCTCTCTCTCTCTCTCTCTCTCTCTCTCTCTCTCTCTCTCTCTCTCTCTCTCTCTCTCTCTCTCTCTCTCTCTCTCTCTCTCTCTCTCTCTCTCTCGTTCTGAAAGTGGAAACTGGCGAGGGTTAGGGCTCTCCGTTTGACTCTATTTCTTACCTCACCAGGTTCATCTGACTGGAGACCGTCTCTGCCGCTACAGGAGAGAGACTCCCCATCATTTAGCACCAGCCTGACCACTGGAGGAGCTCCTGTCCTACTGGCACCGCCGGCGGTCGCCGTGCTGCCAGCGCTGATCGTTACGTGAGTATGTCTTGTCGGCTCCACCGAGGACCTGCAGTCTCATATCCCACTAATTACTTCTTACTGTGGATGGTAGAGATAATAAATGCTCGCTGTGTATGTTGTGAGATGCATTTACCGTTGTTGGCGAATGGCGACCTTCCGCTAGTCACGTTCGGTCATTTGTGCTAGGAACAACGCTGCTACACCCTTTTCTATTATTTTTCTTTTTTGTCATCTTACGTTCAGCTGTATTATGTTTTATCTCCAAACATTCATCACTTCTGATCTACGCCGTGTTTCCTATGAAGTGCCGTCCATTTACTTACTTTTTCTATCAGTTATGTCATAGTTCTCGTCCTTTGCCCTCCACCATACCGTTCCACCTGATTTTTTTCATGTTGGTCAGTACTCACTAGAGCTGTGCTTAAAAAGAAATGATACTCATCAGGCAAACACTTCGCTCATTCCAGCACGGAGTGAAGTCTCGTATGTAAATTATTTGAGATGTTTACCGATTATAAAAGGAGATGCCGATCGTTCGAATGCAGACGGTGAACATTTTCATGTCCCCGTATTTCGTGCAGTGTGTTCTAGTTCCCCTCCCCAGTCGATTCACTGTAAGCTGTCCGTAAGACTTATCTGACGACCGCCGCTCCCTCTGTTTGCCCTCAGGCGGAGGTGGCGCGCCCTCTGGTACAGTCCGGGGCGCGGATCGACCTACAGAACGAGCGGGAGCGCCCGCCGCCGCAGATGGCGCCACTAGGGCTGGCGAGCGACCTCCAGCAGCTGGCGCCGCCCTCGGTGGAGCCCACCGCTGCCACAGATGGCAGCACCGTCGACTTATCCCCGGGTTCAATGCATCTCGAGCCCCTGAGCCGCCGGCTACTTCATCTCGTCGGTGCAGTTCGCAGTGCCCTCTGTAAAACTCTGTTGGTATAGATGGCACCACCGTCGACTGGATGCCGATGCCTGCGTAATGCGTATCTCGTGTTGACCGAGCCCGTTCTCTGAATCTGAGGCTTGAGCTCGCCAAGCGAGCAGTGCCTATCTGCCATAAGGGCTTAGAGTGCCGAGGAGGTAGTCGTATTTGTATTCTGTTATTATGTTCACCCACCCACACTGTCGTGACGGAAAGTCTACCATATCATTGTACTCGCGTCCCGAGACCATTGATGACCCGTCTTCCCATGGCAAGGTCGGTTTTCTCAACTGGTGCCTGTGTTCGCTGCATTTTGTATGTACGACACGTGCGTTGACTGCATAGTCGTACCTTGCCAACTGTTGTTGAAATGCTGAAATGTTGAAAGTGTCGTTCATTGTCTGCTGGTGTATGCGTCTTTAGTCACCGCCCGTCGCTTACCTCAAGATTTGATTCGTTTGGTCGGATGTTGGACTCTTGCTGCCGCGTGTGGGCACCGCATGGCCGCCGCCTTTTCACTGTCATCACCGTGTCGTTATCTGCGCGAACGTTGAGAGCTTCACGTTGATGTGATGCGCGTCGTTGTTTGACATTCGATCATTGGTAAAGTCACCATGTAGAGTGGGGTTCTTTGTGACTCGGACCCGTGTGCTCCTGATGTTTTCCATGTGTGCATGCCATCGATCAATGTTAGGTGCTGAAAACTGTGATAGAACAATAAAGTCATGAAGTAACCCTCTAGGATTGATTGGATGTGTATGTAGATGCTCAGCTTTTTTAGCTCTGCCATTGGATCCGACAGCAGGCAATTGGTACGTCGATTGTCGGGTTTTATGGCAAATAAATTGCTGAAAACCATGGGATGTGTGGTCTGATGTGGTTGGAACACAGTGCGAACGGAGGAAAGAGGTAAAAGGCCTAATGGCGACGCAAGTAAAGATCTCTAGTGGCCAAAACACAAGTCTCTAGATCCGCTAAACGAAAAAAATGGGAGTGATGGAAGCAAATGCGCTAAATCTTCGGTATGGTTCACCGCCAGCAAGGCTGTTCCAGATATCAGGATCGAGTTGCAGCGGTCGCTAAGGCATTCGCCGTTAAAGGCGGTGGCGTAATCGAGCCCGGTCGGCTGGTTGGCAACGCATTCGCCACGAAAGAAAGTGGGCGGAGCCTAAATGGCCCTAAAACTGAGATCGGCATAATGCACTTTCAGGTGCCCCACCGGGTTTACCCTGGTGGCCGAGTGGTTAGCGTGACGTCAGCATGCATTTTAGACTTTTGAAGGTTTCGGGTTCGAGACCCGGAATCGCCTGATTACGGTAAATTTTTCCGTCCTAAACGGGCCTCGAACCCAAAACCTTCGAAAGTCTAAAATGCATGCTGACGTCACGCTATCCACTCGGCCACCAGGGTAAACCCGTTGGGGCACCTGGAAGCGCCTTATGCCGATCTCAGTTTAGGCCCATTTAGGCCCCGCCCACTTCTCTCTATCGTCAGCCCAGCCTGTGTGACGTCACGTCCACTGCTGCTGTCGACTGTTTGGCTCTGTACGCGGGTCTCTCAGTCTCCCGAACCGTCTGACCATTGCTGAAAAGAGTTCCCACGCGACTTCCAGGACATAACCACTCAAAAACACGTCGTTCGAGTCGTACTTTGAATTGTATTGCGACATCTACAAATAAAAGCATACAATAAACAAGTGTTCTTCATCAGACGATCACAGTATCTTCAGATGAAAGTCGACCAGCCAAGTAGCGGGCGGGGGGGGGGGGGACGTTTGGCGTGCCTCGGGCCGGGTCCGATTGATGAGTGCTGCCTCGCCGGGTGGCGGACGGGTCGGCGCCGGCAGCAGTCGGCCCCTGGCAGCTAGACCGGCCCGCCGAGCCGATTGACCCGGCGAGATGACCTCTGATGGCCGTGGGCGGTGACAGCCGCCAATCTGGACCGTCTGGAAGCGAATGGTTATCAGTGAGGGGTGGGCACGCTGGGGGAGGGGTGGGACAAGAGAGGGAGGGAGGGTGCCACGGACTGACGAAATAAAAACAGCAGAGGGGCTGGGGGAGGGGCTGTGATGTGCAGGGACGGGGGTGCCAGGCGCTACAAGGAGAACTTTAAAGGAAGTGGAGAGGCGACATTACGATCACATGCATGGAATGTTGCAGGTGTTTGCAAACATGGTGCAATACAAAGCAGCCCTCCCTCCCTCTGACTTTTTCACTCGTCTCTGTCACTGTTGCATTCCCTTCCCTATCCCAATAAGAGTACCTACCCTATCCACTGCTTACAATTTACATTTCGAAACAATTAGCTCACTGCAATGGATGATGACTGGACTATGCAATGTCGGCAATAGTGCGCAACAATCATTACACACTGAACTGACACACCGCTGTAAAATGTCACCGCATCTGCCACCGCCACTGTTCACTGGTCACTGGAATCGTTACTGCTCTTACAGCCATGAATATTCAACTTCTCACCATCACATTATCTCACACATTGTCTGATATTGCTTGGAAACGCTTCATTAGCTGCAACAACCAATCAATCACCCGGCGACGATCAGCTGATTAGATAGGCAGTGCCACCTATTGTCGGCATTCTGAACTTCAATTTCGTGCAAGCAGCGCCACCTATGCCCCAAACTGCCGAGCCCGATTTCCACTAGCTGCCCATAACACAGACCACAGCCGGCGCTATATACCACTAGTGACATCTAGCGGCGGCATCTCTCAATATGCCTTGGTGCCTGTGTTATGTGCAGCTAGTGGAAATCGGGTCGGGCCGTTTGGGTCATAGGTGGCGCTGCATGCATGAACTTGTGCTTCTTAATGCCGCCGAAAGGTGTCTCTGCCTATCTAATCAGCTGATCGTCACCGGGTGATTTGCAGCTAATGAAGCGTTTCCAAGCAATATCAATATCAGACAATGTGCCAGATAACGTAAGGGTGTGCAGTTCAATATTCGTGGCTGTGAGAGCAGTAGCGATGCCAGTGAACAGTGGTCAGTGAGAAGTGGCGGTGGCAGTGGCAGATGCGCGGTGACATTTTACAGCGGTGTGTCAGCTCTGGGTGTACCTAATGATTATTGCGCACTTGCCGACATTGCATAGTCCAGTCATCATTCATTGCAGTGAGCTTATTGTTTCGAAATGTAAATTGTAAGCAGTGAATTAGGGTAGATATTGTTATTGAGATAGCGAGTGCAGCAGCGACAGAGCCGAGAGCAAGAGACGAGTGCACAAGTCAGAGGAATGGAGGGCCGCTGCTTTTTATTGCACCATGTTTGCAAACACGTGCAACATTCCATGCATGTGATCATAGTGTCGCCTCTCCACTCTCTTTGAGATTCCTTGTAGGCCAGGCACGTTCCGTCCCCTGTACAGCATCACAGCCCCTCCCCCAGCCCCTCTGCTGTTGTTATTTCGTCAGTCCGTGGCACCCTCCCTCCCTCTCTTGACCCTCCCCACCCGCAGCGTGCCCGTCCCCTCACTGATCTTCCCTCACTTGCAGACGGCCCAGATCGGCGGCTGTCACCGCCCGCGGCCATCACTGGTCATCGCCGGGGTCAATCGGCTCGGCGGGCCGGTCTAGCTGTCAGGGGCCGACTGCCGCCGGCGCCGCCCCGTCCGCCACCCGGCGAGGCAGCACTCATCAATCGGACCCGGACCGAGGCACGCCAAACGTCCCCCCCCACTCGCTACTTGGTTGGTCGACTTTCATCTGAAGATACTATGTCTCCCTAATGAAGAACACTTCTGCTTATTGTATGTTTTTATTTGTAGATGTCGCAATACACTAAGTGTCCCAAACGATGTGTTTTTGAGTGGTTACGTCCCGGAAGTCGCGTGGGAACTCCTTTCAGCGATGGTCAGACGGTTCGGGATACTGAGAGACCCGCGCACAGAGCCAAACAGTCGACGGCAGCAGTGGATGTGACGTCACATAGGCTGGGCTGACGACAGAGAATAGTGGGCGGGGCCTAAACGGCCCTAATCGGAGATTGGCATAAAGCGCTTCTAGGTGCCCCACCGGGTTTACCCTGGTAGCCGAGTGGATAGCGTGACGTCAGCGTGCATTTTACACTTTCGAAGGTTTTGGGTTCGAGGCCCGTTTAGGACGGAAAAATTTACCGTAATCAGGCGATTCCGGGTCTCGAACCCGAAACCTTCAAAAGTCTAAAATGCATGCTGACGTCACGCTAACCACTCGGCCACCAGGGTAAACCCGGTGGGGCACCTGAAAGTGCATTATGCCGATCTCAGTTTTAGGGCCATTTAGGCTCCGCCCACTTTGTTTCGTGGCGAATGCCTTACCGACCGGCCGACCGGGCTCGATTACGCCACCGCCTTTAACGGCGAATGCCTTAGCGACCGACGCGCTTCGATCCTGCTATGTGGAACAGCCTTGCTGGCGGTGAAACATACTGAAGATTTAGCGCATTAGCTTTCATTACTCTATGTAATATTTTCTTCGTTTTGCGGATCTACAGACTCGTGTTTTGGCCACTAGAGATCTATTCATGCGTCACCATTAGACGTTTCTCCTCTGTCTCCGTTGGCACTGTGTTCCAACCACATCAGACCACACATCCCATGGTTTTCAGCAATTTATTTGCCATAACATTCGATAATTTATGTACAAGTTGCCAGCTGGCAGGTCCAATGGCAAAGCTAAGAGGCTGAGCATCTACACATCCAATCAATCCTATATCAGGAGGCTTACATCACGACATTCAATGTGTTATCACAGTTTTCAGCTCCTAACATTGATCGATGGCATGCATGCTTAGGAAACATCAGGAGCCTAGGGGTCCGAGTCACAAGCAACCTCACTCTACACAATGACTTTATCGGGGGTCAAATACCAAGCAACGAAAAACGTCGCGCATCACATCATCGTGAAGCTCTCAACGTTGGCGCAGATGACACGGTGATGACAGTGAAAAGGCGGCAGCCATGCGGTGCCCACACGCGGCAGCAAGAGTCCAACATCCGACCAAACGAATCAAATCTTGAGATTAGTGGCAGGCGGTGACTTAGGACACATACACCAGCAGACCATGAACGACACTTTCAACATTAAAACATTTCAACAACAGTCGGCAAGGTACGGCTATACAGTCAACGCACGTGTCGTACATACAAAATACAGCGAACACAGGCACCAGTTGGGACAACCGACCTTGCCATGGGAAGACGGGTCATCAAAGATCTCGGGACGCGAGTACATCGATATGGTAGAGTGTCCGTCACACGACAGTGTAGGTGGGTGAACACACCAGAATACAAATACGACTACCTCCACGGATACTTTCGAAGCCCTTCATGGCAGATGGGCACAGCTCACTTGCCAAGCTCAGGCCTCAGAGTCAGAACGCGCTCGGTCAACACGAGATACGCATTACGCAGAAACCGGCATCCAGTCGACGGTGGTGCCATCTATACCAACGGAGAGTTTCACAGAGGGCGCTGCGAACTGCACTGACGGGATGAAAGTAGGCGGCGGTTCAGCGGCTCGAGATGCACTGAACCCGGGATAAGTCGACGGTGCTGCCATCTGCGCCAGTGGTGAACACCACCGAGTGCGGGGCTAGCTGCTGAAGGTCGCTCGCCAGCCCTAGTGGCGCCATCTGTAGCGGCGAGCGCTCCGCCTCGTTCAGTAGGTCGATCCGTGCCCCGGACTGTACCAGATTGCGCGCCACCTCCGCCTGCGGGCAAACAGAGGGAGCGAGGGTCGTCAG